AGGGGGGAGGGGGGTCACCCCGGCTGAGGGTGTGGGTGATGATGGGGTGAGGCCCGGGCTGTTCCCCGCGGGAGGCGGTGTGGACCCCCGGGGGCTCGGGGGAAAGGGGGGGAACCCCCTTATTTGAGATGCTGGGAGACATCAGGAGTCCCTGGGTGAGCGGGACCTGGCAAGCTGCAGCGGCTGCCAAGAAGGTGCCGGGGTCCGGGAGGGGCTGGGGGTGGCAGGGGCAGCCCCCCCCTCCTCCTCCCCCTGCCCTTATCAGCTGCCTCTGCTCTCCCAGGGCTTTTGCTCCAGCACCGGAGGAACCCCTCACACATCCCCTGCCCTGCTCCCCTCCCCGCTCTCTGTTTGCTCGATATTGTGAAATTCCCCCCCCCCGTGACCCTCCAGTGCAGGGCGGGGGGCTGCGGGCCCAGCAGGCGCAGTGGGCACGCTGCCGGCTGCCTGGCGGGGAGCGCAGCGGCTTGCTATCTGCTCCCATCTGCCCCCAACACCGATCCATCCTTGTTAAGCTCGGCGGAGAGATGCTTTGCCACCGTGTTGTGAAGTGATAACTCAGCCGCATTTGCAAAACAACTTTCCTCTTGTTTATTACATAATGATCCATTGATTGTGGGTAATGTTGCATGCCCGCCGCTGCAGCCGTGCGAGGAACGCTCCCCTGGCACGCTGGAGGGGCTTGGTCAGACGCCGGCACACTGGAGAGCAGCTGTCGGCTCCAGCAGCCGCGGGCTCCCACAGGGCCGAGGTTGTGGGGCTGGGTGTCCCGTGTCCCACCCACATCCCCCATGTCCTTCCCGCGTCCCGACCTCTCTCCCCACCCTCGGCTCCCGCGGGAGGGGAAACCCGCTTCTTCCCTTTCATCCTCCCTCGTTGCAGCCAGGCCTGACATCATCCCCTGCACCTTAATGACTGTGCAAGGCCTCCTGCTCCCAGGAAGCTGGTGCTGCCGTGGCTTGTACAAGGGAGCATCTCCTGGGAACCCCCCTGGGGCCGCAGCCCGCTGGGATCAGGGAGACGGAGCCCATGCAAGCCATGGGGACGGGCACAGCCAGAGGGTGGTGGGAGCTGGTCAGCACTGCAGCTGCTTCCTTCTCTGGGGTCCTGGCATCGCCCCGGTACTGCCCCCACCATGGCAGAGACAGGCTGCGCCTGTGCCAGGTGCCTGGGGAAACCGAGGCAGGGAGCAGCGATGGGGGGGAGGCCATGCAGCCCCTGGCAAAGCCCAGCACCTGAGGCCGTCCCCCCCAGCAGGGCTGGTGCAAGCTCCGAGGAGGTGACGAGCCTCCTGGAGCACCATGCTGATCTGTCCTGTGGGACTACGATGTGGTACCCAGTGCCGTCGGCTGAAGGGCTCCCCCGTCCCCTCCGCTGCAGTCCCCAGCCCCAGGGCAGGGCCACCAGCGCATGGGGACAGGGCTGGGAGTGAGGCCACGGGGACCTGGCCAGGTCCCAGCGTCACTGCCCTGCCTGGCCCGCAGCAAAAGGGCAGTGCCAGCATTAGTGGCTGGACTGGGGGAGGAAGGATGAGCACGTGTCCCCTGCTGGGGACAGCCCGAGGGACAAGCCGGGGCTGGAGGGTGCCCCATTACCTCCCTGTGCTGGATCACCTGGGGCTTGACGGTGGGGGACGGGGTGACCGTCAGGGTGGGCAGCACCCCATGCAGGGTGGGGGGCGCCCCCCCGCAGCGGCAGCAGGGGTGCCAGCAGTGGTGCGCACGTGCGCATAGTCACAGCCACGCCGCCTGGTACGTGCAGCGCTGGGGGTCGCCCCAGGTGACTGTGGGACAGGGTCAGTGCCCGCGCAGGCAGGGCTTCTGCTGCGCTGGCTGCGGTTTACAGGACAAAGGTGAAGCCATTTCGCGCCGTAAACACTTGTGGCAGAGTGGCACGGGGCAGGTGGAGCTGGCCAGAGGCCACGGAGCTCGTGACAAACTATTTATGGTTTCTCGGTTCGGGACACCCAGGTGCGCCCCAGCCCCTGCCTGGGCTGACATCACTGGCCGTGAGGCCAGGGGAGGAAGAGGAGTTGTCCAGTCCGTGGCCGGGAGCGAAGGCCGTGGTGACGTTCCGTGCCGGCTGCGTGCAGCCTGGCAGGTAGGCACAGCCCAATGCCAGGCTGCGCGTGGCAGGGGCAGAGCCGCGTCCCCGAGGCTGGCTGGCCATGCCAGGCCCTTATGCGTTTGGCCGGAGAGTGGGATGCACCCAGCCCTGGCCATGGAGGACAGATGCTGCCACGGGGTGATGCAAAGCCTCGTGCCACACGGCCGGTCCAGGCGCACACCCCTTGCCTAGAGCCAGACCTGCTGCCGGGGCTGTGGAAGCCCCCCCAGCACCCGGGGGGCACCCAAGCCCCAGCACTGGGGTCCCAACAAGGGCTCCCCCCTGCCTTGGAGCAGCAGGGCTCGGGGATCCCCTGTACCAGCACCCCAGGAGTCTGGTCCAGGCTGCCCCTGGCGTGCCATGCTGTGCCCTGCCTGAGGGCACGGAGCGGAGCAGGGCTGGGTGGCTGGTCCCCACCGAGCTGGCAGCAGTGCCACATGCCCGCCGTGGAGCAGTGCCAAGGTTGAGGCAAGCGGCAGGAGGAATTTTGCAAGCGGAGCTTGCCGTGCCGCACTGTGCTGGGGCGGCTGACTCAGTCCCTTGCTCCCCCCCCCCCGCGATGCACTGGCCAACAAGGGCTGCACCAGGCTCCCCAGCCCACCCTGCCACGTGCCACTGGCACAGCCACGCACCGGGACGGGGGCTGCGGCTGGTGCCCATCTGCCAGCGTCCAGGGGGATACGGCCCTTGGCAGCGCTGCATGATGCTGCCCCGGCTGGACCCTGGCCCTGCCACGTAGCTCCAGCCCAAGGTTGGCAGCCAGGTGCTGGGTGGCACCCTGAGTCCCCGGGGAGGGGGGTCCAGGGTAGGGTCCCCGGCCCCACAGTGGGCCAGGCCTGCGGGAGTGCAGGGGGGACATGGGGAGCCGGCGCCTGCCGGGAGTGCTTGGAGGACCCGTCTGACAGGTTCGCCGGCTCTTCCCGCACCCAGACAAGCCCAGGCCGGCAGGACGCCGAGCCACCGCCCAGCAGCGCCTGCTGGGGTGGGGGGAGCATGGCCGCCCTGCTGTGATGGCGGTGTGGACCCCCCGAGGCCGCAACCACAGCAGGTCCGTCCCTACTGGGAGAGGGGCCACTGCCCCCCGAGTCCCACACTGCTTTGTGGGGAGAGTGGCTGCCCCCCTCCTGGGGGCACTGGGCCACCCCAGCCCAGCGGGGTGCAGGGTCAGGACCTGCACGGCTGCTCCCCTGCACCCACCAGGGCTGTGGGGTGCCAGCCATGGGGCTGGGTGCACCTCACTCATCCATAGCCCCAGCAACACCCCAAGGGTGTGACCCCATCCCCAGTGGGTCCCTGGGCACAGCCCCCTCCCCACACATTCCCTTGCCTCGCTGAAGGCACCGGGGGGGGGAGCCGAGGGCATCCCCAAATCCTGCGGGAGCTGCCGTGCAGACAGGCGTGTGCCAGATCCCCCCTGACGCTGGCAGGAGCCAGCATGCCTGGCGGAGCCAGACATGCTGGTGGGGGCAACACGGGGATTCCCACGGGGCCCCCAGGCACATTGGGGTGCCTGCCGGCAGCCGCTCACCCTGTACAACCAGTGAGGATACCGAGGAGGGCTCTCCTGCACCCACTCCTCCCCGGACTGCTCCCAGCCACTGCAGCCCAGCACCCCCCAAGGACCCTGGGGATGCGTGCCAAGGGCCCTTGCACTGCTCTTACCTGAGGGTGCTGCCTGACATCCGCGCCGTGCTGTCCTCCTGCGGGCAGCACCAGGTCCCTGCTGGATGCTCCATGCTGGCGCCTGGGGGTCAGTGGGGAGCAGAGCCGGTGGGAGGTGGGGGGGGAGCGCCCCGCATCTCCCCAGGTTGCCCTTGCTGCCAGCGGCGCTGAGCCCATGACTGGAACCGTGGTGCCTAGGGCCGGCGAGGCAGGCGGCACGGTGAAGGTCGGCACCTGGCGCTTGCTGCCCTCGCCTGACCCCTGCCCCGGCCAGAGCCCACCGTGCCGGAGGGCAGGGCTGGCCAACGGCTGACCAGGAGCGCTGCACGCCGCCGTGACAGGGGTCTTTTTTTTTTATCCTTTTATTATTTTTTTTTTAATAGACTAAGAGCAGAATATGAAAATCACCAGCCAAAGCACTTGAAAAAAAGGTTGAGTTTGTTTTTTTTTGTTTTGTTTTCCCCAAAAAGTGTCTGTGCGTTTGCATAGGTCAGGTCTTCACGGAAGACGAGGAAAATCCAACACGTTCAACTATGTACAAGCCAGCCTGGGGCCGGCGCCACTGCCTATGGTACAGTGTAGATATATCTATATAGTCACTCTCTGTACAGTATGTATAGATCTCTATGTAGGTATGTACAAGCTGCCCGGCCCTGGGGGTCCCTGCCCTCACTGGGCTCCCCAGTCCAGCACTGCCCCCCAGCCACGGGGCACCGGGTGGGCTGTGGGCAGGACTCCACGCTGTGGGACGGTGTCGGCGGAAGGTGCGGTGCACGCAGCAGCACCAAACCACATCCTCGCAGATGTAGCCACAGCCAGGGTGGGGGGCGAGTCCCAGCCGGGATCGGTGCATGCCGTGGCCCCCTGCCTCGCGGGGCGGCTCTCCGGGCAGGGGGGTGGCGGTGCGGAGGAGCCAGGCAGTCCCACGGTGGTTCCCCGCCGGGTCTCACAAGGGGCGGCAGGTTGGGGGGTCCCCACTCGGCGGAGCTGCGCTGGCCAGGCCCTCACAGGCGCCGGGAGCTAGGAGGCCAGCAGCGTCATGAGGAAAAGCGCGGCAGCCACGGCCAGGGGCAAGTGTTCCCGCTTGGGGCTGGTGCCGCTGATGCTCTTCTCCAGCTTGGGCATCTCCGGGTTGAAGTTTTCTGCGGGGAAGAGCGAGAAGGTGAGGGTGGCACCGGGGCGGCCCCGAACCCCCACCCCACGGCTGGGGCTGCCCTGCGGGCGGCGGCGGGGAGGGCACGGCGCTGATGGGCCAGGGGCTCTGCCCGAGGGAGAGAGGGGATGGGGGGGGTCACACTCCCTGGCCACCTTGTGCCGCAGCCCCCCCGCCCCGCCCAGGAGGGATGGGGGACCCGCCGGCAGGCCACGCCACACCCCGCTCGCCCGCAGCCCCCAGGGTGGGCACGGGGGGTACTTACTGGAAGCGCAGCACACGAACACTTTCATCTTCAGGCAGGCCCGGCGGTGGGTGTGGGTCGGGGGGGGGCCCGGCGGTGGTTGTGCGTCGGTGTGGCTGCAAGGCAAAAGCGGGCTGGGGTGGCTCCAGAGCGGGTGACCCCAGCCCCGGCAACCCGAAGGCTCGGTGAGCTGCTACCTGCTGGGTCTGGGCATGTTGGGGTCTGGCCCTGCCTGGGGGTGTGCTCCAGGCTGGGGATGCAGCAGCACCCCCATCCTGCACCCTGAAGCTGAACTTGCATCAGCACCCTGCACCCCTGTCCTGCACCAGCAGCCCCCCAGCACCCCAATCCTGCATCAGCACCCCCTGCATCCCCATCCTGCACCAGCACCGCCCCCCACCTTTCCCCGCACCCCCATCTC